ATAGAGATAAAAAAAAATGTGGTGTAGCCATAATATTCAGTGAAAAAATAGAGGTAGAAATAATTCAACAAATACAAGATGTAGAAGGTAGATACTTGATAATAATATGTAAAATCAATTCTAAGATATTTACACTCTGTAATGTCTATCTCCCAAATTATTCACCAGCTTCTTACTTAAGATCCATCTTAGAAAAAATAGAAGAAGTAAAAGTGGGAAACTTAATATTGGCTGGAGATTTTAATGCAGTTATCGACCCACAACTAGATAAAAGAACTATGAAAGGAGTTAAAATAAATAAGATGGTAATTAAACAAGCTAAATCCTTAAAAAACATAAAGGATGAATTTAATCTGTTCGACATTTGGAGGATTCACAATCTAAATCTAAGAGATTATACACACTTCTCTAAAGTCCATTTTTCTTATTCAAGGTTAGATATGATTTGGATTGATCCTAATTTAATCGATAAAATTCAAAAAGTAAATATAAATGAAGCAGTTTGGACAGATCATAATGGTGTAGTATGTGTAATAGAAGTAGGAAAAAATATAAAAAAGCCATATAGTTGGCGTCTAAATGATAGATTGCTTAGTTTTGAAACAAATAAAAAATTCATGGAAGTAAACATAGGCAATTATTTTAAAGAAAATAACATAGAGGATATTGATCCATCCACTTTGTGGTGCGCCTTTAAAGCAGTAATAAGAGGTCATTTCATTAAACTCCAAAGCCAAACTGATAGGGGTACTAGTCTATCTCACCTTTATGGTCAATTAGGGAAGTTGACTCAAAGCAATAAACATAATCCAACAGTTGAAAATTCCAAAGAAATATCGGCATTAAAAGACAAAATTAACCAAAAATTAATGGAAAGAACAGTTAAAAGTTTAGATAGACTAAAATTAAAATATTATTCTAAGGGTAATAGAGCCGATAAACTGCTATCACAAAAATTAAGAAAACAAAAGGGTATTAATAAAGTAGAAAAACTTATTAATAATGGAACAACTGTAGTAACTCCAAAACTAATAGGACAACAATTCAATGATTTCTATAGTAAGTTATACAACATTCCTCAAACTACGACAGATGAAGATATAAAAAAATATCTAGAAAAAATAAATAAGTTTAAATTAACAGTATTACAAAGTGAAGAAATAAATAGAGACATAACTATAGATGAAATAATGAAAGCTATAAATAATTTGGAGGAGTATAAAACCCCAGGTCCAGATGGATTTAGCAATTTATTTTATAAAATATTTAAAAAATCAATTTGCCCTTATATGACTAGTGCCTTTAACAGTGCGGCTAAAAGAGGATCTCTTCCAATAGAGATGTTAAAAGCTAATATTCTACCAATTTTAAAACAAAACAAAAACCCTACTGATGTTAAAAATTACCGTCCAATATCCTTGATAGATGTTGACACTAAACTATATGCTTCAGTGTTGGCCGCTAGACTTAAAAAACTTTTGCCTCTGATCATACATCAAGATCAAGTAGGTTATGTTCCCGGCAGAAACTCTTACACATGTATTAGGAAAATTGTCAACATCTTAGATGATGCTAATAGAAAAAGAGTTCCAGTTTTGGCTCTGTCGATTGATGCTGAAAAAGCATTCGACAGAGTCAACTGGATTTATCTGGAGGCAATATTGTCACACTATGGTTTTGATGGATGGATTAAGAAAGCCATTATGGCCCTTTATGTAAATCCATCAGCACGCACTAAAGGACCAAACATCACAGCCCCATGGTTCCAATTGAAAAATGGTACACGACAGGGATGTCCACTCTCACCGTTATTATATTTGCTTTCTATTGAACCATTAGCCGAGAATATTAGAAACAATAAAAAAATCTATGGCCACAAAATATTAGATGTAGAACAGAAATTAAGTTTATATGCTGATGACATCTTAATTACCATAACAAAACCGGAAATTTCATTAGATTTTTTAATGTCAGAAATTGACAACTATAGTAAAATATCTAATTATAAATTAAATATAAATAAATCTATGATCCTGGACATTAATTTAGATGCACAAATGAAAAATAAGATTAAAGATAGATATAATTTTTTATGGGTCGAAAATAACATGGATTATTTGGGAGTTAAACTGACTAGAGATGTAAATAAAATGATGGAAATCAATTTTCTGGATTTATTGCAAAATCTTAATAAATGGCTGAAAAACCGAAGAAATTTAGAAATTTCTTTCTGGGGAAGGATAAATGTAGTGAATTCATACGTCATTCCAAAATGGAACTATTTGTTCCAAATGTTGCCATTAAGTATTTCTGATCAGTGGTTGCAATTAATACAGAGAAGTTTTACTCAGTATATATGGAAAGGTAAAAAACCAAGACTGAGTCAGTCAATACTAACACAAAAACTGAATAAAGGAGGACTGGCTTATCCCTTAATATTAAATAATTATAGGGCAGCGATAATTTTACATATATATAGGATGCAAATAGAAGAAAATAAAAACGAAAGTTGGTATAAAACAGAACTTACTGCAGGAGAAATCCCCAGCTTGGACTGTTTAATTTGGAATACTACCAAATTTTTTCAAAAAAAAAATTACCCTAGTATAACATTAACACACTTAATGAATAGTTGGCTTAAAATTAAAAAAATCCTAAAAATAGAAAACAAAATTCCAACTTATTTAGGCTTAGATTTTGTAGAACATCAAGTTGCAGATATAAATTTAAAAAATTGGAATCAAGCAGGAATTTTGCGACTGTCTCAACTACTTGTAAAAGATAAAATTAAAACCTTTGCTCAATTAACACAGGAATACAACTTAACATCAAAAGAGTTGTTTAACTATCTAAGACTTAAAAGTTTCTTGATAACACATTTAATTACATCAAACACTAATCTGAATAATGGGTTAAATATACTCTTTAACACAGACAAGATAAATAAACCACTTTCAAAAGCTTTGGTATTAAGCAAAATATGTAATAAAGTAAAAACTCCAACAGCCATAACCGCTTGGAAAGAAGAATTAAATATGGAAATAAATATTAGGCAATGGGGTTTCTCATTGACAGACGCTTCGAAGTATACACACTCGTTAAATCTATTAGAGACTCATTTTAAAGTTCTAAATAGATGGTACTTAGTACCAGACAAATTGAACAAAATGTATCCTTCAGCAAACCATCTATGTTGGAGATGTGGTACAAACACAGGTACTTTTAAGCATATTTGGTGGGAGTGTAGTAAACTGAACAATTTGTGGTTTAATATACAAAAGTTTGTATCCATAGACTTGAACCTTGAGCTGAGGCTTTCTCCGGAGACTGTTTTGCTTCATCTAAACTGGCCGGTAATGACAAAAGATTTGAAAATTACTCTTATCCATCTTTTTTTAGCAACAAAAATTGTGATTGCAAGAAGATGGAAAGACGATAGTGAAGTTCCTTGGGATCAAGTCAAAGCCCAGCTTAAGTTTCAAGTAAAAATGGAAGTGTTATTGAGCAAACAAAAATTAAGTAGGAAAACAACAATGTGGTTGAAATGTTGGGAGAAGATTGATAAATAGAGGGGTCTTTATTTATATATATAAATTCAAGGTGAATAATGAGGTTGACTGTTAATGCTTTGGACAATATAACACAATATATATTATGAGATAAATATATATACTTTCTCGATGAGTTTCTTCCCTTCTCTCTTGCTGCATTGTTTTGTCTTGTTTTATGTAGATGTGTAAGTCTAAAGTATTGTTTGTTCTTAGTTAACTGAAATGTATAAAGAAACATCTTATGGATGAACATCTTATATAGGAACTGTTTCTCTATCATTTGTTTGTAATTGTGGTATTGTATTGTGGAAAAAAAAAGAAAAGGGGGGAAACCCTTAAAATAAAGATTATATAATAAAAAAAAAAAAATTGAAAATATCAGGAAGGGGCATGGTGTTGGTGGTGGGTTGGGTATTGTAAGTTAGGAGGTCTGCTCTATCTTTTTTGGTGATGGTATTTATAGTGGTGTTGAGGCGGGTTGGTGAGTAATTTTTCTCAATACATTTTTCTTTTAGATAATTTGATTGTTTGTTAAAATCTTCTATTTGGGAGCAATTCCTTCTGAGACGAAGGAATTGGCTTTGAGGGGCACTTTCCAACCAAGGTTTGTAATGGCAGCTAGATCTTTCGATAGCTGTGTTGATGCAGACTTTTAAAAAAAAATGTTTTGGTGTGGATGGTATTGTCTGTAATGAAGATGTTGAGGTCTAAAAAATTAATAGATTCCTTACTTGTTTCGTGGGTTAGGGTAATGCCTCTATTGTTGATGTTGAGGTGGTGGATAAAAGAGTTAAAAAGAGCTTCTGTGCTATCCCAGATAAAAAACAAATCGTCTATATATATAAAATATGTTACAAGGTTCGTACACCAAGCGTGCCTTCCCCATATGGCCGTGGATTCCCAGTCGGCCATAAAGAGGTTGGCATAGCTTGGCGTGAACCTTGTACCCGTCGCAGTGCCTTGTTTTTGTAGGTAAAAGGAGTCAAAAAAACAAAAATAGTTGTTGGTTAAAATGATATTAATACCTTCTAAAATAAAATCTATAGGCAGTTTCCCTTTCCCATCCCCGTCTCTCCCTGTCATCTGTCTCCTGGGTGACTTCCCCGCTGGCGTTGGTGTCAGGGGACCTTACAGACTTGAGGGATACAGGGGGGTCCAGGACCTGGTGGGCTGTCTGGGAATGCCTAATGTCTCCAGCTAGGGCTGAGGGGTTGTTCTCATTGTTTATGTCACCAGAATGATTCTGCTGGTGAGGACATCTGGCATGGAGGGGACCTGATGGAGCATCTGTTTTTGTAGAGAGTTCATGTAGAAGACAGGTAAACAATTTATTGTGGTAGCTGGTTCCATGGAATTAGTTTGTCTATGATGTGGAGGGAATCTTGGCTTGTCAGGTGAGAGGAGGTAGATTGAGCTTTGTTAAGAAAGCTGGGACTTCAGAGATGTTGGTCAGGACATGAAATTTGTTGTTAATTTAAATGAATGCCCCCAGGCATATCTCAGGTTGTGTAGTGTCAGCAGCTGAGTGAGGGGGCGCAGCATGCAGGCCTCCAAATCTTGGTATAGTTGTACCTGGGCACCTTTAATTTGTAGCTGGGTATCCCTGTCCACTGTCATGAATCTTTGTTTTATGTGGAAGTAGTGCATCAGCAATATAACATCTCATGGCAGTGTGTTGGCCACTGGGGATCGTAAGGCCCGGTGTGGTCCATGAGCAGGCCAGCCTGAGAGGATTCAGGTAATAGGGTTTGGAAGGCTTTGGTAAGAATAGGCTGCAGGAGTTCTATGGATTAGTTTCGGGTATAGCCCTGATCCGGATGATGTTCCTCTTGTGCCTCATCCAAGCTCTTAATTTGTTCCTTGAGTTTTTGAATAGCTGAATCGTAGGAGTTCACTGTTGTTATTGTGTCCTCCATTTTGGTTTCCACCTCGTGGGTCCACATGGCGAGGTCTGTGAGGCCCTCGTGGAGAAGTTGGAGGTGTTTTTGGAGTTCTTCAGCAACATGAGATTTAAATTCTCTCATAAAGCCTCTCATATCCCTTCTGGTGAGAGGAGAATCCAGGCTGCCCTCTAGTATGGAGCAGCTGTCATCTGATTCATTGTCAGAGGGTGCCACGCTGTGATTAGGCATTTGGTTCTTGTCAGACTGTGCGTGGAATATTAGCGCCACGGCTAGTTGTTTTGCTTTGTGCCTACCTCCCATCTTTAGGTGAGGCCGATGGGTGCAATAGTGGTTGCCTGGTTCGGTAAGGTGGCGAGAAGCAGGTGGGGTGGGGTACATGCTTGTGGTAGCTGTAGTTTCAGCTGCAGCGGAGCTTCACAATTATACAACCATCTTTGTGGTGAGTCAGGATCCACCCCTGTATAATTTTTTTAAATTGACCAATATTTATTTTTTTTAAATCTTTTTTATATGATGACTTCTACATTGAAAATTACATATAATTAATAATTATTTCTCCTTATTTTCATTTCTTCTTTTATATGCATCTTCTAACAGTTCATTTTTATAGCCCTTTGATTTTCTTTAACTCCTTAAGGACACACTTTCTGGAATAAAAGGGAATCATGATGGAATATTTTCGTCATGCGTCCTTAAGGGGTTAAAATCCTTTAAACATTTTTGTGTTTGTTCATGAAATATTTCCTCATTAGTCCAATTTTGTCTAATTATTAGTAATTGGGCTTTTGGGGCATTTAGTAGCCGTGATGAAAAATGGCAGCTGCTTTCATGTATGTAACTGTTTACATCAAACCTTTTAAAGAAGGTACTAAAGTTTAATGCAGCAAAACAGGAAAAGGTTGCTCCAATTGTGAACAAATGTGTTTCAAATAATAAAACCCTGGAACAAATAAAACAAATAAACAAAGAACAAGTGGCAAATATAAAAGTCCAAAGTCAATGTGTAAACTTGCAAAGGTTGAAGCCAAACCCAACAGAGGAGTCTTTTTGTCCTCTTCTATAGGGAACAGTATAGATATACAAAATAAAACAAAGAACAAAGCCAATAGTGCAATATGCTCTAATATTTTGTGGTACTTTGAAAGTGCAAGTCTTACATGGTCCTACTCACATTTTATAGAGCTTACACCAGATCTAGTGTACAGTGATATAATCCCCACTTGCAGGATACGTGTAGTAGTGTAGTAAGCAGTGCAGTTTTCACAGAGGACCATAAGTCCAAAAATGACAGAATTACAACAATAGTGCTCACAGTAGACACTAAACCAGGAGTAATAAATATAAATAAATGTGCTCACATTAAATTAAGTAGACACACCGCTAAATGAATAATGTGTGAGTGGTATAATCCCCACCTAGGATTATTATGTTAGGCCCCCTCTGGAGTGATGAACAGGATGCCAGCAAAATAAAAAAAAAAGCAATAAAAAAGGAAAATGGTGCAATCACAATATAAAAGTAGCCAAAATCACTTTAATTAAAATACAGTAAAAATCTACAACATGCTTCACCACATAGGGCTTTATCAAGTGTGTTTTCCACTTGATGAAGCTCTATGTGGTGAAACATGTTGTGGAAACTGTGACAGATCCACCTGTCTTTAAAATACTTTTATTCCCCCTTGGTTAGTCTGTTTGTTCGGTTAATTACCTGTCCGTACACCCCGTTCCTTTATTTTCCTAACTCCCGAATGAACTGCCGAACGGCCGGCCACCCAGCATGGAAGTGTGCTGCTGGTTAACCTCTTGGTCTCAATAGAACATTGTGGTTAACCGCAGACACGGGAAGCTGGGTGGCCGTCGCTTGAATGCCGAACATGAGGCGGCGGCCATCTTGGATGTACGAATGCCCAGCGGTGTTCGTCAAGAATCTTATGGAACCTCTCCCATACGGTGGATCCTGTATACGAACGCCATCCTGTTCGGTAGTTTTAGTTCACGAAGGGAGTCACCTCAGATAGCTATCCCATGGAGCCTATTCATATACTGAAAGACTATGTGCACAACTTTGGCTCCATGGCGATTGGACTATGTATATGGGATCTGAGCGCCATTCGATAATAATACTCTCAGATCCAAGCTATCTGAGGATATGTTGAACCCATGTATTTCTTTCAGTTATTGTAATGTTATATAATTTTATGTATTTTCTCCACCACGTGTAAAATGGAGTTTGGCCTCTATCCTGGGAGATAATTGAGTAATTCCCCAATTATCTCCAGGATAGAGAGGCGGGTTCTGTACAGCAAAAGGGGAGTGTTTATAGCCAAAGTGTTTCTATTGGCTACTGTATTACATTTGTCCCAGTTTTCCACCAGGTCCCTTAGGGAAGTGTCCACCTGGTGGAATACCACATAAATACCGGGCATGTAGCCCACATTAAACAGATCTCTGCTTAACCCTCAATGCGAAGCTTGGTCTCGTACTTGGGGGTATTGGATTCGTATGGTTTACTCGTTCGGCTGTTTGGTTCGTGAAGGATTTCGTATGGTTCCTGTTCGGCTAATTGGAGCTTTCGTTAGCTGCTTCTCTATTCAGAAAGGGAACATCTTCAGTGGTATTAACCTCTCATATACCTGGGTGTACCGTAACAGAAACATATTGTGCTTATTTGTACCACACCCAAAAGAAAACAGCTTCTTCTCTATTCCATTGCCACTTTTTGGTGCCAGGAATGGATAGCATGTTTTAGCTTTTGTGAGTATTTTTAAAGAGCTGCTGGCATGTTCTCACACTGCCTGATAGCTAACAGCGTGTCAATGGTCCATGCCAGCCATAGTGCCTGCTGCTCTCTATTGAGGAAGGCTGCTTACCTGGCTTCATATGTTGGCATAGTAGTAGCAGCAGCTGTACAATCTCATCAGTATGGTGGCCACCATGCAGAGATGCCTGATGGTATGCTGGAGGACCATGCTGAAGTGGTGGTGGTGGTGGGTGGGATTAAAGGCAGAACAGTGGCACTGATGCAGCTAAGATGATGCTGAGTTCTAATGTCTAACTTATGTACTCCACTTTAACTCTGCCTATAGGCAAAACCTGGTAAAAACCTGGTCACCAGTTGATTGGAATAGTAGTTTGCTGTGTCCCTTGTCATTTCTTGTTCTTGCCCCATTGCACTGTTCCTCACCTGCCCCATTGGTTGTCTCCTTTGTCTTTTTAACTTCAGTTTTCCACTGACTCTGCTCCTCTATTAGTCCTGATCTTTAAACATCCTATCTGTTTTTGTCTTGTCTCTTTTTGAATACCTCTGCCTAGGTACTACTGTCATAATAAAGTCCCCTGTTTCCACTATTACTATTATTATATATTTTGTTTTTAATTATTTTATGTTATTTTATGGTATTATATGGTACTATACGATGATCAGCCACAACGTTAAAATCACTGAATAACATTGATTATATCGTTATGATGGCACCTGTTACGGGGCAGCATATAAATAGTCAGTTCTTGAATTTCATGTGTTGGAAGCAGGAAAAAAATGGACAAACAAAAAGATTTGAGTGAAAATGGCCAAATAGTGATTGCTAAACAACTGGGTCAAAGCATCTCCAAACCGGCAAGTCTTTTTGGATGTTCACAGAATGCAGTTTTTAATACCTACCAAAAGTGGTGCAAAAAAGGACAGACAGTGAGCTCATCAGGATCATGAGTAGCCAAGGTTCATTGGTGCATGATGTGAGGGAAGGCTCAAAGACCATGGAGCAATGGAAGAAGATTGCCTGGTCTGATGAATGATGTTTTATTTTAGATCATGTAGATGGTTGAACGCATCTGTGTCGTTTAGCTGGGTAAGAGATGGCAGCAGGATTCTCTATCGTAAGAAGTAAGGACAACAGAGGCAGTATTATACTCTGGATATTGTTCTGCTGGAAAACCTTGTATACTGGCATTCATAAGAATGTTAATTTGACTTGTACCAACTACCCAGAGATTGTTGCAGTCCACATGCATCGATTCATGAAATGATGTTACCTGAAGGCAGTGGCCTCTTTCAGCAGGCTAAAGAAAACTTCCACACTGCACAATTTGTTCAGGAATTTGTGCCTGGCTAGTACCTGCACATATAGGTTCCACTTCAGAGAGATTAATTTTTCTTTAGTTACTTTTACAGTTATTCTCACCCTTCCTTATAGAGTTTACCCTCCCTAACATCTTCACATGCCTTATAAAGGTCTTATTAGAGTACAAGAAATATGTTGAGTACCTGCTCTTAAGAGCCTCAGCTCCATCTATACTATAGAAATTGTGGTACCAAAATTATTTTGGGAAGGCCATTGGAACAAATAGAGCAACAAAGAAAAAAGGAGACTATGATTGTGTTGACAAGCAAAAAACATCTACAGTATTGCTCAGACTAATGGCTATACAGTATCAGTCATTTTTGCAATGTCAGTTCGGAGTTGGCATTACTTTTATAATGATTGATTGTAATTTTTTTCCTGCTGTTATTTTGTAGTATTAAAAATAGGAACCAGGATTAATTTTAGAATTTAATCTGAAAAATGAAAGGAAAAAGTCAATGGGCAATCAATTTACTCTTTATATCCTGGCAAGAACAAACTTTTCCCACACAATCAACAACAATCCTTAACAAAATACTTGCAAATCTCCTATCTCCCACCCAAAGTTATTTTATATGCTTCTGATAGTACATGCTACTAATAGTAGAAAGGAAAAGCAGCCCTCAGTATTACTAATCTGTCATCCAATGCACTTAGAATGAGGGAAATGGAAAAGCGTATGCAATGCATTTCACTATTATTATTATTGTTAAAAATAATAATACTCACTACTTAGCAGTAGAACCTTTGATTATTTCTATGTTTTGTTGTGCATTTTTACATCTTTCTATATTACATCATTCTATATGCACTATTGTTTTATACAGACATCCAGCATCTAGTGTGCTAGCAGGTTCAACAAATTTAGTCTATAGTTTCTGACCAATGTTTTACAAAGTTTGTATATGAAGTTTAAAACATTTTCTGCTATTAATTTTATTTTGTATTTTTTGTGCCAGAACCCCAAATCAGTTTGTTTTACTCTACAAATAAAAAGCAGTAAATTGTGTTTCAAGTTACACTCATAATGTTGCCATAAAACAAAAAGATTATACAATTTTTTATTTATTTATCCTTCTTAATAAAAACATCAAAAACCAGTAAG